CGGCTACGTCGAACGGTCTGGTTATGCTTTCAACCCTCAGCATAACTCCACAGGCCTCAAGGTCCCCCTAGGTCACAGAGCAAAAGCTCCAGCACCGGCTAGTGTCGCCCCAACATCGTTCTTCTAACCTACTTACCTTAACAAACAACCTTCCTCTGTTGAGAGCCCCCTTACTACCTTCCATCCTCGAGTTCTAGCTCCCCCCCTTCCCTCCTTTTTTTGAGATACCAGGGCCATTACCTGGCTTCGACTAAGAACAAACAGCTGAGAACCCCCCCAACAATCCGCTTTACCTCACTCTGGCAAGACTTACTGCAGCAGAGCCACCATCTCCGCTGCTGCTATACCCTATTTCCATCCTACGAGCTAGCCCCCTTACTACTAGGATGCCTGATATCCCACCATCTACTTCCCCCACTCACCTCTCTTTTTTAAAAAGGACGTGCTCCAGTCTATTCGTGGGGAGGAGCACATGCTGGGCACCAAGTCCAGTGTCCCAATCAAGAATATATTGAAAAATCAGGAAATCAGAAGATTAAGAAAATCATATACACGTTTCAACGCCTACTATTTCCACAAGAAGAGAGGAAGTGAGGGAAAAAACCACCCTCTCTCCCCATGGAAACTCCAGCGCGTATTCTAATCTCTATTGCATGTACATGGCTCACAAGAACCAAAACGGATTACTCCTCTGGCTCAAAAAACGACCCCCTGTCTGATACTGCCTCCGCGGGGAAGCGCCCCCTCACCTCCCAGCCCCAGTTCAGAACAGCCCCCTAAATACCACTCTTGCTCCCTCAGTTGCATACAGTACCTCCTAAAGTATGCCCCGCAGAGCCGAAGATCCCCCTTCCCTCCTGCCCCACCCCCTCCAAGTGAAACAGCCCTACAACATCTCACCATGCTGACATTAGCACCCCTTGTCCTCTCTCCCCAACTGCCATAGCTGATCCGACCCAAAAATCAGCGTGGCCCAGAAAATGACAAACCCTCAACACCGCCCCTCCTTCTCAAAGATCACACCACCCACCCTTTGTAACCCTCGCAAGGAGGGGCTCCAACCCTAAAGGAGATACTTCCATTCAGATTCAATAACCAAAAACGGATAGGAGTGATTTCCAGCAACAGATGAAACACTTTGGGAACTATCAGTACATAGAATAGGAAACACCGAAAAAAACGGACAAAAGTCAGAGTCATGCATAGGAATAATTATTGAGACATCAGAACTAAGTCCGATTTTCAAAAACTCGCAAATCAAGATCAGAAGATCAGAAATGGAATCGAAACGCACAGTGACTAGAATTTCGAAATCAAGACTACGTACCTBATGAATTTAAGCGTCAAGACAAATCAGAAGATCAAACGAGATTGAGTTGAAATTTTAAAATTACTTTTAAGAAGTCAGAGGTGCCCAACCTTTGATTTTACGAATCTCAGGCTAAGAGTATTGCCCAAGAAATAATTCAGCAACAAAACATACGACAGTCGATACGGCTAATGATATGATATTCGAAAGAAATAGCCAAACAAACTAAGTCAGAATTAGGCAACCAAACTAGGTCGGGATTAATCTTGATTTAGTCTTGATTTTCAAACCTCAAAATCAGAATTATTAGTTATATTTTCGTTGGATATCTAGAATTCAAAGTTAAAAGGACTAATAGGTATTGAACCAGACAAAACTATTTGAGAATCACATCGTTAAGAGTCTCATCATGGTCATCACATAATCACCCCTACAAAACGTGAAGAGGAAGAAACACAACTTACCCTCGACATCCTAAACGCATCCCCCCTCTCTCCAAACCTCACCTCCTCCTTCATCGGCTCTCAAGCAACTCGGCCGCCTGTTGTTGACAACTATTCAACCATCCCAAATGACCGAACGATGAAGATAACATGACCGCAGCTAGGATGACCATCACCGCACTCCAAACGACGTCACGAGACTAAATCTTTGAGCCTGCCAGCCGCCCCTCGCAGGTAGCCCAAAGAGATGAAGGGGTGTCATCGTCGCAGACGTCGCCCGCCTATAGAAGACCTTACTCCCGTGTTCCTCCTCCCATTCCTTCTTGTAATACTCTTCCTCTAGCCCATGAAAACCTGGTTGCCTCCCCTTACTCCCCCCGCGGCATTCCTCCTCTCCAACGAGACCTTGATATGAGATACGCTGCCCCTGTGTTCTTCCACTCAAACAAACAAGCACATAACAGAAACGGCAAACAGGAGAGCCTGCAGCGATGCCCAGACACCACTAGCCTGCTCCTCCATGCCCCATGATCCCTCTCCCGCCTCATCATCCGCTTGCTGACCTCTCACCCCGCACTCTCGTCCTCACGTCGAAGCTGCCGTCATGCCCCCCCAACCGCTCTTCGTTTCCAACCTTGACCAAGGAGCCTGCCGTCGCGTCAAAACGTCGGGCGGCGGAGTGCTCCCGGTAGCGCTCCTCCACCTCCCATCTTGATGATGGTATCTCAAGGCCATCACCCTTTATTTTCAAAAAGGGTCCAGGTTGCGCTCGACGTGGCGGCAATATCTCAGGGTACTATGTAGTTCCTCCCCCGTTTTTCAGTCCCCACAGTCTGTGTTCGACAGGTCCATTACTCGGGCGACCCCGTTTTCGATCCAACCCTTCCACGGCGGCGCAGAGCTGCAGCACACTTGCCCTTGCCTATTGGTCAGCCAGCGGTTGCCAAAGAGGGGCTGCCTTAACACCTCCTCCCACCTGTCTGGATGTGACCTCGGGAAAGGGGGGGGAGTCCGCGCCAGCTCTTAAAAAAGAGAGGGCCAGAACTGGTCCACTGCATCATCCCCTCCTGCCGCTCCATTGCATCACTTCCGGGGGATGGACCAACAGCGGTCCTCCAGCCGTATTAGCGGGTGCACTCCATGGGCGGCTGGGGGGGCCAAGCGGACCGAACGTTCTTAAGGCCAAGGGCCTCCAAGAGCTATGTAGTGCAAAAATCAGAGAGCCTGGGTTTGTGTAGAGGGATCTATTCTTGCCAGACCTCCTGCGAGGTTCAGCTGGATGACCAAGTGCTCTTGAAACCTTTTCTCTTTCTCCCGTCTTTTTCCAGAGCAAGGACAGCTACGCCCAACGCTCGAAAAAGGCCATTGACCTTGTTTATAATTAAAAAAAAACCAAAAAAAAAAAACAAAACGATACCCATTTAAAAAGCAAGAAGAAGATACCCATTTGGATAGAAAGAAGATGGCCATTTCAAAAGCAAGAACGGAAATGATTTGGGCCTGGGTCTGTAGAAATCATACAAAAACAATCTGTCATCACATCTTTGCTGTGTCATAGCATCTTTGCTGTGTCATTTGGGCTTAGAACAATCTATATGCCTGGCTCCACTGCTCAACGTTTGACACGTACCTGGAGTGCGAAGTGGACCACATACATATGGACTGATCAAACGCTTTGAATGTATTGGGACCATCATGACCTCCAGATGCATTTTGACATGTAGAATACTTATCCTTCTCATGAGTCTGTAGACTTCAGCAGACTTCAGACAATCTGTCCTAGCATCTTTGCTGTGTCATTTGGGCTTAGAGCAGTCTATGGGCCTGGCCCCACCACTCAATCCCTGACATGTGGCGACTCTACATGACTTAAACATAGAGAGTGAGGTACACAAGTGGCATTCAGGTGGTCAGGGGTTCATTTCCCATTCGCCTAAAGTACGTGCCTTGGCATTCTTCTTCTTCTTTTTTTTTTTTTGTTTTGTTTTGAAAAGCGGTTGTTGTAGAGGCTGGATTATAGACATGTGAGAGTCAGCTTCAGCACTCGGCCATGTTGTAGAGGCCCCCTTATCCTATGGGACTCCCTCCCAACCTACCTCTTTCGTAATTTCTCCCGGCGCACCCTGCCTTGGTGCCCACCACCTGGAGATAGTCGTTTGCCCCTTCTGGGCAGCATTACTAGACACTGCTGATGTTCGTTGAGGGGAGAGAGGCGAGGCACATAGTGACTGGCAAATTACGCCTGGCACTACCCTCTTTGCCCCAATGGGATACCCTGTCATTATTGCTGTGTATAAACTGAAAGTTGCCCCGAATTACAGCTATAATGACCGGCCATTCCATTCAGGTGAAGACAGTAGCACTACTGGCCGACCCCTGGCTGGTGTCGCCCAACTAGTCCTCGTGAGGCTACTGTAGCTTGACTCTCTCAGTATTGGGCAGAGGATATAGCTCTTGGGGTTACCCTGAATACTGCAAAGGCCATCCTGTCTGAGAAGCCAAGTCCTGTCAGATTGGACCTCCCCAACCATTGTCGCTCACCAAATACCTCGAACAGACTCTTAGTCATTTTCAGTACCAGCAGACCTTCATTGGTCTTAGCGACTGATTCCCCAAACATCTTTCTAACCTTCTTCCAACCGCACGACCATGTGTTTCCTCCACTCGACTCAATCATAACATGTCGGTGTCCTTCACTCTCATTCTTTTTCAACAATTCCAGCAGATTTAACGACCAGGTATCCTCATGGGCTATTCTGAATCTAATCGGAAGTAACGGTTGGCATTCCCCAACCACATTACGTTCGCGTTTCTTGTTTCTCTCCTTCTTGCCTGGGCACGTCTTACTACGGATTTTGTCGGACTTGTTGCAGCCACTCATATTAAGTAAAGACGACCAAGTCTTGATGTACACAGCTTCAAGATCCAACAGATCATGTCCTTGCATGCAATCAGCAGGTAACAATATGAAGTTCCTTGCTTTGAACGTACTAATCCATCTATGGAAATGAGACTGGGTCTTATTCCGACACGCGCTAAGGTGCTCACGCCATCGTGTATCTACGTTCCGAGTGTTTTTTCCCACGTATTGCAGTTTGCAATATGGTGAGATTGCCACATACACACACCAGTGATGTCTAGGAACTCGACACCATATATCTCGACCAGTTTCTTCCAACATTCCAAAATCTTTCCCGCCCACTTAATTTCACCTCTAAGCGATAACAGGAGTACACATAGCCGTAATAGTTCCTCAGCTTTCGTGTCTATACTCGACAGACTACATCGGTAACTTGTCAGCCATCTGACCATACGCCATAGGTCATCGCTTCTTCATGCTTCTACTCCTTCCTCAGCTGTTGTCAGATCCTCCTCGCCTTGCTCAGTCACCTCGGCCGGCTCAATTAGTTCTTCCTCCTTATCGAAGGCCTTACGGGTTCGGTGGCTAGCAATGTCAAATATTGCGTCCACCTTACCGTTGTAGGCAATCCCTTCGTTCTTACAGATCGCTTGCAGTTCCAGGGCATCCAGGCCCTGGAGCTCTTCCATAGCCTGGTTCTTGAAGCGCAGCTTCACAGTAGTACTTGGTGTTGCCGGACTTCTCTTCCGTGTCAAGTATGGTGACAGCTTAGTCTTCAACTTCGATTTAGAACGTGCCGCCCTGATAGAGCGACCTGCAACTTTATCTCTCGTAGTTTTCGGGGTCCGCTTCGCAGGAGTCATCATCGACGGGCTTCCTTCCACTGGTTGTTCCGCACCCCGCTTCCTCTTCTCACTGATTACCAGTTTCCTTGTCTTCACTCGAATCTCCTCCGTTTCGCTATCGCTGCTACCATTGTCTAAGCTTGATTTCTGGTCGGATATGCAGTCAGTTCGCTTCTTACCTTTGACTTTCTTTTCAGGTAAGGTTCGTCTTCCGTAGTTGGCTTCCATCTTGTCAAAGAACTCTCCAGCTTTGATGGCAACTTGCAATTCCACCCGCTTGTCAATTTCTGCCGCACACAATTCCTCTTGTCTTAACCTCTCCAACCTCTTTCGCTCCTTTTTTTCCCTTGCTGCTTTCTCAGTTGCCTCACGCTGTTCCGCTTCTTCAGCTTCCTTTTTGACCCTTTCCTCTTCAGCCTTCCGTACTATCTCCTTTTGCACAAACTTAGTCATTGATGCCAGGCTTTTGCCGAGCTCTTCAATCTGCTTCTGCAAATGCGGTTCTTGTGACGAGGAGCGTTGCTTCTCAGCTTTACCGCACGAAGGCGATGTCGATCTACCCCTCTCAATGTCGTACGATGTTGATGGTCGACTATCGTAATTACGTCGATTCGTACACTGGTTGGCGTAATCTCCTCTCTCGTTGCAAGCAAAGCATCTAGGCGGAGACCTCCTGTAAGGTCGATCCGCACCTTAGTCGTAGCTCCTCTCCGATCTTCGATAACCTCCATGTTCATCGCTCCCCGAGCGGTAGTCTCTCCGATCGCAGTCTCTCCTCTCGTGGCTTCTCCTGTCGCTCATCTTGATCCTTGGTTCATATTAGTACAACACGGTTAACACAGTGATCGGCACGCTCACTTGATCTCAGTTATTCTTCTCCGAGAAAGTTAACGTGTGCGATAGCAAGTTGAATTGAATAGGTGAGTAGTGAACATGTACAACAAGTTCAAAGTGAACAAGAAGTAGCATGTCCAAGACCGTTCGCGTAGAATGCGAACAAATACATAAGGTCAACCACCGTACACGTCAATGTAAGCATTAACAAAAGCCAATGGGAACATCAACATGTCTCAGGGTCGGCGTCCCCGACGCTTGCGTTTCGGCAACCGCCACGTTGCCTTCATCAGGGGGTACCACCAAACATCTCCACTTTCTAAGTCCGTCTCCTCCACAGTCCCACTTCCGTGCCGTCTACACCCAACCCTCCGTAAGGTTGAGTATATCGAGCTCCGTTAGTCCTGAGCGAGAGGTCGACTAATGGTGTATTCAACGCTTATAATTCTTCGTAGTCGTAATCCCTGAAACATGGGTATTGCTAGAAGATCCTTTGTGAATCCGAAAAAACAATAGTCCCGACTCTAAAAAATGGTCTAATTCGTTCTATTACTCACACCAAAAGGGAGGCCGAGTCCATGCAGTTCGGTCTAGTCTCATTTCCCCAGATACAGTCCCAGAATAGTACCGGTACCGTACCGAGCCAAGAAAATCCTTGTCACCGCGAGGCATCCAGAGTCATTTATTCAACCTCCGATGTACCGGGTACCATATGGTACTAGAGATGTACCATTTCGATACTGGATTACAGGGTATTGTCAACAAAGCCGAAACTCATATCACCAATCCGCCATCCTATCACCAAAACTAAGTAAGACCAATCACAAAAGTTTCTCAACAAATCGAAAACGACAAACCATTCCAAGACCAAACTAAAAAAACAAAAACAAAAGCAAAACAAAACCGAGGTCAAGGTAAGCTACACTAGCTAAAATCCCTGTCCAATGATCTTTCATCCTACAACCAAAATAAAACTGAGTAAGACAATCCCAGAAGTTTTTCAGCAAATCGAAAACGACAAACCATTCCAAAAACAAACTCAAAGACAAAACAGAACCGAGGTCAAGGTAAGCCGCACTAGTTATAATCCCGGCTGGTAGCTTAGAAAAATAATAAATAAAAGGTGTTTTAACAATTAAAAAAATTAAATAAATGGATTAAATTGTAATATCTTCCTCTTATACAAAATAAACAAATCTACCTTAAAAAAACCTTCTTACTACAAGGCAACAACGTTTTAGGAACACGACCACTAATTTTCGATACTTGTACTAAGCACTTCGCAAACAAAAGGGTTATGGGACTTATATACTGGCAAAACAACTCGTATAATCATAAAAATAAAATCGGCTACGTAAGTGTACTACACAGAAACGAAGGAAGTACATATGACGACTTACTGGTAGGAACAAAACGACAACACTTCCAACTATACCCCACAGAGAACCTTGCAGAAATACACAAACTCATGATATACCGCTAAGTACACTGACACGTAAACACCATATCAAAACACTGAACGAAAAACACGCCACAACATGCGCAGTAAAAGAACCAATAAGATTCTAATAAAAATATTTCACTTCACTACCACCTATCATCAAGATATTGAACACCCCTTAAAAAGACCGCCACATTAAACCACAACACGAAAAAACTTTCACTTCGCTTCCGCTACTGCCCATCACTGAACCCTGAACTTCGCACAAAAGCATACTACACACACCCCAACTCATACATCGATACGACCACCTACAAACCCAACCACTGAACAAATGATTGAACTCTTACAAAATAAACAAACACGATATTACGTAAATCCAAAAGACTACGGGACACAAATAATGACAAAAAGCCGCACACATACATAATCACAGAAAACGACGAAATACAGATGAGAAATAAAACGACAAGATATTGAGCAACACCCCGCAGAGAACGCTTCACAAAAAACAAAAACTCATGACGCATCCGCAAGTATATTGGCATGTAGAATCAAGACAAAATTCGACACGGAAAACACGCCACATCATACATAATGCAAAACCGCTGAACGACTAATTAGACTGCAACAGATCCCAATGCCGACAGTCGCCGAGCTCTAAAAGCCTCCAAGTAGATCGACACGAAAGAGCTAGACAAAAAACATAACGCAGGAGATACACCACAACCTACGAATTACAAAACAAATATAGGACTAACTAAAACTATGATTGCCCCACCTACTGCCTGACCCCGAGAACTGAACTACGCGCGGAACCTTGTCGTGCACACCGTAACCCATACATCCATACAAACCCGTAAACCAAATAAGAAACCGACCAAACATGTTCTTCACCCCGCCACCCTAGAACGACACTACCCCCCTTCTCTGAGAACTAATAAAAAAAAAACCGCCGATTAACTAACCCATACACACATCCATCAACGCACCGACTACAATGACAACCCCACACGTAAGAAGATATAATGGAGATAGCTTGCACTTCTATCTACCACAACACTGCCTGTGACCATACCGGCGCTACGGAACATTCCCACTCTTGCGTGCTGCGCACTCATAAAACTTCCTCATCCCATCATTTTCCCCTGCTGAGACACGGGCCTTCCCGTTTGCACGACTCGACACTCCCTATGGGTGATCTTGCACCTAACACGCACTCTGGTCGAAGTGCCACGAACACTAAGTACTGCAAAAGTTGTTACTTCAAGACATTGAAGATGGCTACGCCCGAGGACGCTGCTTCCTCTCAAACGTTCCACCTTTAGGTAAGGACGCTAACCCTCTCCGAGTGTCATATGTGTCGTGCACTCTAATATAACACACCCTACTTATAAAAGTTAATGGGAGTATAAAAGTTGACCCTCTGATGAGCTGCTATGGGTGCTAAGCAGCGAAAAGCGCGCTTCAGGGCGTGCACCCCCCCTATGGCTGTCTCTGACGGCCATCCCTAACTTCAACCTAACTTCTAATCTGCTTCCCCCTAATTAATCCTTCATCCTCCTATGGAGTTGATGACTATAGTAAAACTCGCCCCCTAACCCATCCTAAGTTCAGTCTGCTGCTGACCTGGCGTGATACTACGTTTGGACAGGTGGATGGTCTGGTTCCCCATGGATTATGGGGTTGCCGTGTTCTGCACACCCACTACATACACACACACACACACACACACGCACACACACAAACAAACCAAAACAAGTGTGGCAGTGTATATTTCCATGTTCTAGGGGTATATTTATTCCATTTTGCTTTTGTTTTTTTTCCTCTTTTTTCGACAACAAACCTTTAATTTCTTAAAAAATACTGCGGGGCTCCTCGCGACCCCTCCTACCATCCTTGGGGGCCAACCACCCTAGCACCCCCCCACTTGGCCGAGGTACGTTCGGACGGGAACCGTCCGTATGTCCGTACGCCCGTCTGTCCGTCCGTCTGGACGACCCGTACGCAGACCCCTCGTACGACGTACGGGGGATGATATTGAGGTACACCACTCTACTCTACTCTACTCCACTCTACTCTACTCCACTCTACTCTACTCGATTCGATGAGAATTGACTCTATTGTACTTTACACTACTCTAAGCTACGATACTCTGACTCTACTATACTCTACTCTACTCTACTTTGCTTTACTTTACTTTATTCTACTCTATAGTACTGTACTCTAGTCTACTCATCTTTACTCTATTGTACTCTGCTCTACTCTATTGTACTCTATTGTACTGTACTATATGTTGCAATACTTTTAGCTACTTACTCTACTCTCCTCTACTCCATTTCACTCCACTCCACTCCACTCTTCTCTACTCCACTCTACTTCACTCCCCTTCACTCCCCGTCACTCTACTTTTCTTTACTCTACTCTACTACACTCGACTCTACTCGACTCTACTCGACTCTACTCGACTCTACTCGACTCGACTCTTCTCTATTCTACTCTATGTTACGCTACTCTACTCTACTTTGCTTTACTCTTCCCCACTTTACTCTACTGTTCTCTATTCATCTCTTCTCTATTGTACTTCATGCTACAGTATTTTGATCTACTCACTCTACTCTACTCTACTCTACTCTACTCGACTCTACTCGACTCTACTTTACTCTATTGTATTGTACTCTACTTTATTCTACAATACTTTACGCTTCGTACTCTTCTCGATTTTACTCTTTTCTACTCTTCTCAAACTTCTCTTCCCTAAGCTTCTCTTCTCTACTATTCTCTACTTTTCTCTACTCTATGCTTCCCTATTATGCTCTACTCTGCTCTGCTCCACTCTATTCTACTCAACGCTACTTCACTCTACTCCACTGCACTCTACTCTATTCTACTACTCTCCTCTCCTCCACTCCTTTATACTCAACTCTTCTACACACTACTCCACTCCACTCTGCGCCACTCCATTCTCTTCGACTCCATTCGACTCCACTTCACTCTACTCCACTCCACTCTACTTCACTCCACTCTCCTTTACCCACTCCACTCCATTATACTCTACTCCACTCCACTCCATTCCATTAGACTCAACTCCAATCCACACGACTCCACTACTCTACTCTACTCGACTCTACGCTACTTGACCCTTCTCAACTCGACTATGCTCTACTCCACACTACTATACTCAACTCTACTCTACTTTGCTTTACTCTACTCCATTCTACTCTAAACTACTCTACTCTGTTAGAGTTAGTTTGAGCCCGTTTTGAGTGTCGTTTTATTTGTTTTAGCGTATAGGTCCATTCAAGGTACGTCACTCTTCTCTACCTTACTCCACTCAACTCTACTCCACTCGACGCGACGCGACTCAACTCGACTCCACTGTACTTTAAGCTACGCTACTTTTCTCTACTCTACTTTGCTTTACTCTACTTTATTCTACTCATCTCTACTCTATTGTACTCTGCTCTACTCTTTTGTACTCTACTGTACTGTACTATATGCTGCAATACTCTTATCAACTCACTCTACTGTACTCTACTCCATTTCACTCCATACCGCTTCACTCCACTTTTCTCTACTCCACTCTACTTCACTCCCTTTCACTCCCCTTCACTCTACTTTTCTCTACTCTACTACACTCGACACCACTCGACTCTACTCGACTCTACACGACTCTACTCTACTCGACTCTACTCTATTTTACTCTATGCTACGCTACTTTACTTTGCTTTACTCTTCCCTACTCTACTCTACTGTATTCTATTCATCTCTTTTCTGTTGTACTTTATGTTGCGATACTTTGATCTATTCACCCTACTCTATTCTACTTTAGTCTACTCTTTCCTACTTTACTTTACTCTACTCTTTCCTACTTTACTTTAGTCTACTCTACTCTACTCTCCTCTCCTCTACTCTACTCTACTAGTGCTCTACTTTACTCAACAATACTCTACGCTTCGTACTCTTCTTTAGTCTACTCTTTCCTACTTTACTTTACTCTACTCTTTCCTACTTTACTTTAGTCTACTCTACTCTACTCTCCTCTACTCTACTCTACTCTACTGTGCTCTACTTCACTCAACAATACTCTACGCTTCGTACTCTTCTCGACTCTACTCTTTTCTACTCTTCTCTTTCCTAAGCTTCTCTTCTCTACTCTTCTCTACTATCCGCTTCCCTACTCTGCTCTACTCTGCTCTGCTCCATTCTACTCTACTCCACGCTACTTCACTCTACTCCACTGCACTCTACTCTACTCTACTTTTCTCTCCTCCACTGGTCTGTACTCCACTCTTCTACACACTACTCCACTCCACTCCACTTCACTCCACTCTGCACCACTCCACTCTCCTCCACTCCATTTGACTTCACTTCACTCTACTTCACTCCACTCCACTCTCCTCCACTCCACGTTACTCCACTCCACTCCATTCTACTCCACTCCACTCCACTCCATTCCATTCGACTCAACTCCACTCCAGACCACTCCATTACTCTACTCCACTCAACTCTACTCTACTCGACCCTTCTCGGCTGGGCTCTGCTCTACTCTACACTACTATACTCAACTCTACTCTACTTTGCTTAACTCTACTCCATTCTACTCTAAACTACTCTGCTTTGTTAGAGTTAGTTTGAACCCGCTTTGAGTGTCATTTTATTTGTTTTAGCATATAGGTCCATTTAAGGTACGCCACTCTTCTCTACTCCACTCAACTCTACTCCACTCGACTCGACTTTACTACACTCTATGCTACACTACTCTACTCTACTCTACTTTCCTTTACTCTACTTTACTTTGCGTTGTAGTACTGTACTCTACTCTACTCTTTTGTACTCTACTTTACTGTACTATATACTGAGATACTCTTATCTACTCATTCTATTTTACTGTACTCCCACCCCACTCCACTCTTCTGTACTTTACTCCACTCCCCTCTACTCTACTTTTCTCTATTCCACTCTTCTACACTCAACTCTACTCGACTCCACTACTCTACTCCACTCGACTCTACTCTACTCGACCCTTCTCGACTCGACCCCGCTCTACTCTTCAGTACTATACTCAACTCTACTCTACTTTGCTTTACTCTACTCCATTCTACTCTAAACTATGCTGCTCTGTTAGAGTTAGTTTGAACCCATTTTGAGTCGTTTTATTTGTTTTAGCGTATAGGTCTATTCAAGGTATGCCACTCTTCTCTACTCTACTCCTCTCAACTCTACTCCAATCGAATCGATTCGAGTCGACTCTACTGCACTCAATGCTACACTACTCTAAGCTATGCTACTCTACTTTACTCTACTTTGCTTTACTCTACTTGACTCTACTTTGTAGTACTGTACTTTACTATACTGTTTTGTACTCTACTTTATTGTACTATATGTTGCGATACTCTTATCTACTCAATTATCTACTCACTCTATTCTACGATACTCCACTTCACTCCACTCCACTCTTCTGAACTCTACTCCTCTCCCCTCCACTCTACTTTTCTCTACTCGCTCTTCTACACTTAACTCGACTCTACTCTGCTCGACTCAACTTTACTGTACTCTACGCTACTCTACTCTACTCTACTCTACTCGACTTTGCTTTATTCTTCCCTACTCTAGTCTATTGTACTCTACTAGTCTCACCTCTACCATACTTTACGCTATACTCTACTCTACTCTACTCTACTCTACTCTACTCTACTCTACTCTACTCTACTCTACTCTATTCCACTCTTTCCTACTTTACTCTACTTTATTCGATTTTACTCTATTGTACTCTACTTTATGATAATCTACTCTACTTTACTTTACGATACTCTACGCTTCCCTATTCTTCTCGATTCTACTATCTTCTACTTCCCCCCCCCCAAAGCTTCTCTTCCCTACTCTACTCTTCTTTTGGATACTCGATTCTTCCCTTCTCTTCTCGACTCTATTTTTTTCTACTCATCTCTTATCTAAGCTTCTCTTCCCTAAGTTTCTCTTCCCTACTCTTCTCTACTCTACCTTCCCCTGCTCAACTCTACTTTACTTTGCTCCACTCTACTCTACTTTATGCTTCCCTACTCCACTTCACTCTATTCTACTCCTGTCTATTCTACTCCACTCTACTTCACTCTACTTCACTCTACTCCGCTCCAATCTACTCTACTCTACTCTACTCGACTCTCCTCCACTCCTCTCTGCTCCACTCCACTTTTTTACACACTACGCCATTCCACTCCACTCTGCTCCACTCCACTCTGCTCCACTCCACTCTCCTCCACTCCACTCTCCTCCACTCCACTCCACTTTACTCCACTCCACTTTACTTCACGCCACTCCACTTTACTCGCCTCGCCTCACCTCGCCAGTCTATTCCTTTCCACTCCACGTCAATCCACTCTACACCACTTGACTCGACTCTACTCCACTCCACTCTACTCCACTCCACTCTACTCCACTCCACTCCACTCCACTCCAGTCTACTCCACTCGACTCTACTATACTCTACTTCACTCTCCTACACTCTACGCTTCCTGGCTCCTCTCTACTATATTCCTCTTTACTCTTCTCATCCTTACACTTCTCTTCACTACACTTTTTTTCCTTACTCTCCTCTACTCAACGCTTCTCTACTCTACGTCTCCCTGCTCTTCTCTTCCCTATGCTTCTCTTCCCTACCCGTCTCTCCTCTTCTCATCCCTACGCTTGTCTTCCCTACACTTCTCTTCCTTACTCTTCACTACTGTACGTCTCCCTGCTCTTCTCTTCCCTACGCTTCTCTTCCTTACTCTATTGTACGCTACGCTTTCGTGTTCTGCCCTACTCTGCTCTGCTCTACACTACTCTGCTTTGCTTTCCTCTTATCTTCTCTGCTCTGTTCTGCATTCCTTCACTTTGCTTTGCTCTCCACTCTGGATTTCTCTACTCCATTCTGCTCTACTCTACTTCACTCGCCTCCACTCCACTCGCCTACACTCTCCTCCACTCCACTCCACTCTACTCCACTCCACTTTACTCTACTCCATTCCACTCTACTCCGCTCCACTCCACTCCAATTTATTCCACTCAACTTTACTCTCCTCTACTCTCCTTGACTCTACGTTCCCTATTGGGCTCTACTCTACTCTTCTCTGCTCTACTCTTCTCTGCTCTACTGTTCTCTACTCTAGTCTTCTCTACTCTGATCTTCCCTATGGTTCTCCACTCCACACTTCCCTGCTCTTTGCTTCCTTGCTTTGCTCTACTCTTCTTTTCTCTTCTCTACCCTACTCTACTCTACATTACTCTCCTCTGCTCTGCTATGATCTGCTCTGCTATGCTCTGCTATAATCTGCTCTGCTATGCTCTGCTATAATCTGCTCTGCTATGATAAATGTTGCCCTTCAACATAGTGCGGCCAGTTGCTGACTTGAATGGAACGAAAGATCTTCATATTGAACTTTTCTCTTTGTATGCTGGTGTTGTTCTTTCTGTATTCTACGCATTGTTCTTTTGTTACTCCTCTCTCTCTCTCTCTCTCTCTCTCTCTCTCTCTCTCTCTCTCTCTCTCTCTCTCTCTCTCTCTCTCTCTCTCTCTCTCT